GCTCACTGCGACACACCGCTGGGGGAGGAGAACCAGGCCTTCAGTCAGGTCCAGCTCCCTCTGCATGGCTGCTCTGGTCCGTTTCCCTGCGGTTTCAAACCCTGTTCACCAACCTGCCAGGCAGAAGCTTGGAGATGTCGGCCCAGCGGTTCCCCAGCACTCTGTGCGCCTGGCAGATGACCCGGTCCTCCTCAGCAGTCCAGCTGCCCTTCTTCACCTCCGGGTTCAGGTGGTTGTGCCAACGCTCGCGGCACTGCTTCCCGTTGCGGGTGTGATGGTGCTTGGCGATGAGCGACCAGCGCTTCAGGCCGTACTTCTGGACCAGCTCCAGAACCTGAGCAGGAAGCAGCAGAGGTGGGTCAGAGGAGCCGGGGTGGGTCAGAGCAGGACTGGTTCTGAAGAGAAGCTTTACCCGTTGGTCCTCCTCCTGACTCCACGGCCCTTTGACCAGCTCCGGGTTCACCAGCTGCTCCCAGCGTCTTTGACACTGTAGCTCTGACCTGTGACCCTGTGAGAGAGCGCCTCCTGCTGGTACCACAGGACTCTGCCATAGTGACCCAGGGTCTGGTTTATCAAGCCTGCTTACGCACTAAATCAGCCCAGAAACTCGCTGCACCACCGGTTGGATCCATTAAACCTGAGCTGATGCTGAAAGCTTGTTCACAGGGGGGGGGGCCTAACTTCTATGCTGCTTCCAGATGTTTATCAGAACCAGATGTTGATCAACTCTGCACCTGCAGCCACTTTAGGAGGAGATCAACCAGAGGAATCACAGCCAGCTCTGAGCTCCAGTTAGCCCCATCCCTCTCCCCACCCATGGGCTGACTGTATCTGATAAACTCTGGGTTTCCCTGTCTCTTGGCAGCGGTTGCCATGGTCACCATGATCAATGGAAGGGAGGGCTCCTTCTGTGTGAGGCAGGCTCTGATAAACCCCCCCCCTGGTCCCCCATCCTCACCCTGAAGTGCAGAGCCACCGTGGACCAGCTGCTGGGGCCACAGTCCTTCACCAGGCGCCGCAGCATGTCGTCCTGAAGACAGCATCATCACCATCATCATCACCATCATCACCATCACCATCATCATCATCACCATCACCATCATCAT